CCTATCCCCCCCGCAGCTTTTTTATAGGGAGACAAACACTCAGAACACACACACAGAGCCAGTGGCGGACTGCCCCCCCCCCCCCCCCCCGTTGACAGTTTACGTCGGCTGGGCAGGGTGAGATTCCCGGGCTGATTTTTAGTCCCGTCCGCCCATCATGCGTCCTGATGACCGGCGATCTCCTCCATAAAACTAATAAAAGGGGGAGTAATCGGGCAGTTTGGTGTGTGTGTAGAGGTGTGTGTGGTTAAAACGGCCTGTGGTCACTCTTTATAGCTGTTGAATGAAGGTAAACACAGAAGGCGGTGCGTAAAAGCTCTTTGAGCGCTGGTGCTGCTCTTCTCTGAGTTACACGTCCCGCTGCCTCCTGGAGTGACCATACACCCCTGGCCGAAATGTCCTTAAAGTGAAGTCTGAGTACGAAATATATCTCAAATAATGCACTGTCATTTCCCCACGTAAACATAACAGTCTGCAATGAAATGGTTGTGTCCTGTGCGCTTCACTTCCTCCTTGGCGCACCGGTAACTATAATACTTTCTCGTGCGCACGAGTTAGTATCTTGTGCGCACGAGAAAGTATCTCGTGCGCACGAGATACTAACCCGTTATCCTGACTTTTTTTTTTCTCTCTTTTTTTTTTTTTTTTTTCATGTCCCTTTAGGGGCTCCGTAGTATCGGATCCAGGTTTCATGATATCCTCCACACCAGCTATATAAACACTACAAAACTGATGTTGACCATTTTAGCCAAGTCTGAAGGTCTCTATAAAAAAAAGTGTATAATTTGGTGTTGGGGTCTGGGGAGACTGAGCAGAATTGTTTTGGGTGACTCAGGGTCAAATTTGGTCCAATCAAGATTCATCTTTGACTTTAGACAACCCACCCCCGCCCCCTTCATCCACTGTAACAATAATTGTTCGCAACATGCACCTGGTCTCCCCTCCTTCTGCTGACCCCCCCCCCCCCAGGGGAACTCAACCTTTCTCAAAGAATATGTACACTAACACTTGAACCTGAACACACACATGCATGTGTGCAATGTGTGGTGTAATGTTTTTTGGGTCATAACATTACATTACAACAGGATTGTACGTTTATGAATGCATAATAAGTTAGTTCTGATGTAGTTAAAACAATATTGGATGATAGTCTTTTTTTTTGTGTGTTTTGGACTGAGATAAATCATGGGTCAAAATTGACGCGCGAACACCATGAACGGTAACAGCTTTCGAACACAACACAAGGGTTAAACCACTTTTCAATTCCCAGATTTAGGATATTTAAACTCTGCTTTAAGACATTTTTTCAACCTGTTTCACGGACCTGCTCTCTCTGTATCTTCCCTCAGTGACACAGCTCCACTTCATCCCCGTGGATTTGGGATCCCCCATAGTGCATTGCTCCGTGGCGGACCCTTACGTCGTCATCATGACCGCAGAGGGAGTCGTCACCATGTTTGCTCTCAAGACCGACTCCTACATGGGGAAAACTCACAGGCTGTCGCTGCAGAAACCACAGATCCCCACCGTGAGTCAACCCTCCTCCTCAGCAGACCTTTAAATATGCATTTCATATTAAAAATATACAAAATAATAATACATCTGGAGTCTACATTTAACTTTAACATGTTTAAAACCACGTCTAATTGAACAGCAATCCCGCGTGGTCACGCTGTGTGCGTACCGAGACGTCAGTGGCATGTTCACCACGGAAAATAGAGCGAACTCCTCCGTCCAAAAAGAGGACGCCGTCACTGGGAATCAGTCCGAGGAAGAGACCGTCATCCATGACCTCAGGTAAGAGCATCACCTCATCATTCTCAAAATGCTGACTTTTTCTCAAAATGCTGACTTTTTCTCAAAATGTTGACTTTTTCTCAGAATCTTAAAATTCTGACTTGTTCTCAAATTCTCAATATTCTGACATTTTCTCAAAATTCTGACATTTTCTCAAAATCTCAAAATTCTGACATTTTCTCAAAATTCTGACTTTTTCTCAAAATTCTGACTTTCTCAAAATTCTGACTTGTTCTCAAATTCTCAATATTCTGACATTTTCTCAAAATTCTGACTTTCTCAAAATTCTGACTTTTTCTCAAAATCTAAAAATTCTGACTTTTTCTCAAAATCTCAAAATCCTGACGTTTTCTCGAAATTCTGACGTTTTCTCAAAGTTCTGACTTTTTCTCAAAACATTTTGACTTTTTCTCAAAATCTCAAAATTCTGACGTTTTCTCAAAGTTCTGACTTTTTCTCAAAACATTTTGACATGTTCTCAAATTCTCAATATTCTGACATTTTCTCAAAATTCTGACTTTTTCTCAAAATTCGGACTTTGTAACCAAATGTCTCTCAGAGGGGCGTGGGGAGTGGCTCCTTATTTTCATCTAAAGTAACAGACAGAGAATCAGCACTTTGGAAACAGGGCTGAAACAGAGGGGATAATGGGTAATGCTGCAATGTTTGGTATTTCAGCCAATCAGAGACAGGCTCTGTATATATCTGACACCTGTGATATATTGATTAAGAGCAGTATAACAGGGGACCTTTAAATGTGTGTGTGTGTACAGTAGCAACTTAGTGGATGACGAGGAGGAGATGCTGTACGGAGACTCAAACGCCAGCGCTGCGCATGGAAGAGATGAAATGGGACGCAGCTACGGGATTCACGGGATTTATGGAAGCGACGGGCAAGGAAAATCAGAACCGAGCCACTGGTGCTTCATCTGCAGGGAGAATGGAGTGATGGAGGTACGAGGAATATGATGCATATTAAGAATATATGTGACCTGCTTTATCAAAATCAAATGGATGCAGAGAGACTTATTTTGAGATAAATGTGGATTTATGTTTTGTGGGACTTTGGTTGATTTTAAACAAACGGGTAAACAAACCTTGGCTTTTTTTTTTTTTATATGAATCTGTTAACGCCATATTCAGATGTTATTTAAACATTTTTAAGCTTGTAAAGACAGAATGACAAGATCCTAATTAGCCGCTCAGCCACCTTTCGATACGTCTCACTGAAATGATAAATGACAGGCTAATAGAAACACGATATGTTGTTTTAATCTGATCACAAATAAAAACAAAGAATATCAAAATAGTATCGCTGAATACAGATAACAAATACAGTGCTGCTAACGCTTGTAAAGGTATGACGACGAGCGGCAAATGGAGAAACTTAGAGGTGGAGGCGATACAACGGGTGCTGTGTGTTTGTGTTTTTTGGAAAATACATACAAAACGAGACTTTTCCTAATCCCAGTAATACAAAGATTATCCTTGTCCTCCTTATGCCAGGGGTTCCCAAACTTTTCAGCCCGCGACCCCCAAAATAACTTTGCCAGATAGTAACCCAAATAACAGTGTTTCCCATACATCGACATACAAACCCCACAGACCCCCAACTCCGGTGTGTCTCACTCTTTAAGGCGAGACACGGCAAAAACATTGTTTTTCATGTACTGGTCAATTTGGAGATTTTGTGCTATTTTGATTCTATAACATGTTTTCTTTCTGGCTTTTGGAAAGAAAACGTACAAAATACACATTTAAGTGTTTATTTTACGATAGTTTGTCTATTTGTGTCTGTGGATTTCTCCTAAATTCACCAAAAGTTAGCTTTCTAACGTAACATGAAGTACCGCGACCGCTGTTTGCACCATGTCATCAGAGGTATCGTTGGAAAGCTCCGTCTCTCCTGCACAATCTCATCGGATCCAAATATGGTCATTTCCTTTGTATCAGCAACCAATCGTGAAAGTACAAAGGGGTCTTAAACCAAAAAAATAAATCTCATTGGCTGTTGTCAATTTCTGACAACGTGATTCGTTCAGATGCGTCACGTGGTGTGCTAAAACACTTCCTGGTTTAACTTTCGCTGGAAAATTAAATCTCAAAATGGCAAAAGAACTCCTCTTCTGAGTGAGAAATGTCCACTTCAGTAGCACTTACATACACCAAACCTTCCAGTTATATTCTTATCAATATTCTGAAGTTTTTTACAGAAGGGTTTGTTCATATATCATTCATAGCCTGAATTATATAACATTTTATACCTAAAAACATGGCGAAAATTGATATTTTAGGGCTGTTGACAGTATTTTCTGATTTATAGAGTGATAAAAAGAGATATCGAAAATCCCTTCTGTAAAAACTTTAGATTCTAATATGACTATAAAATGAAACAAGAATTTTGAACAAAAAAACAATTGTCTTAGTGTAAGTAATTAACTGGAGAAATGTATAGCTGATATCTTTAAGTTAAAAAAAAAAATACCATATTCACCTGTAGTGTCTCACCTTAAAGTACCAAAAGTAAAAGTAGTCATAGTGCAGATTGGTCCATTTCAGAATAATATATATGATATGTTTTATAATGATTGATCATGAAAGTGTTCTCAAAGGTGGTAAAGGTGCAGAAAGTGTGAATGACTTTGTATACTGCAGGGTAGCTTCTGAATTTACTCCAGGTGGAACTAAAGTCTGATTTAACACTTGATTAGATTTCACATCATTCATCCAGATCTTTAAAGTAACTGAAGGTATTAAATAAATGTAGTGGAGTAAAAGTGCACGATTTACCTCTGAATTGTAGCGGAGTAGAAGTACAAAGTAGCATAAAATGGAAATACTCAAGTAGAAGTGTCTTAAAATTGTACTTAAGAACAGTACTTGAGTAAATGTACTTAGTTAATTCCCTCCTCTGCTAAAAGCCTCTTTTGTGTGAACAATTTGATTCAGGCAAAATATAGTGAATATATATATAGAAATTTTCAAAACTAATAAACCCTAAGGTAAAAAGTATCATTGTCGTGTCAATATATAAATGATAAATTAATATATATATATAGTTTGTAATTTGTAATAGTCTGTAGCTACCACTCGGACTAATTCGCCTCAGTCACTTAAAAATAAAAACTTAAATTATAATATATTGACATATACCATCCAACAACAAATGAACTTTCATGGGCATTTCTGAAAGCTTCTGTTTCTAAGAGAATATCACAAGAGTGGGCCTCTCTTGGTCATGGTTAAATACAGGAGGAAATGAGATGGCACAGGCCTGATCACAGAGGACGTACTTAGTAAGAGTTTGAAGGATGGGGGGATGCCCTGAATTCCCTGAGTACAAGTCAAGACACACTGTTCTTCACATTTTAATAATAAATGTTTGAAAAGAGCTTTGTACGAAAGCTGTTTCCATGGTGAGTTCCCTGAAGCTAGAACATTACAAGATGAATTCAAAACACTGTGTATGTGACCTCTTCCCAGCATTGATGAATGAAAGTAAAAACAAAGTACTGTGGGCTGACTGGACTCCATAGAGCCTCCCCATCCCAAGGTTAGCATTAGCCATTGTTAATCCCAATGAATAATAAATAGTTACACCTGCTCCTTCCTGTGATGCCAAATCATAATGTTTGCCGTCAAAATGGCCGATAGTTGAAAAGTTACACACACACACACACACACACACACACACACACACACACACACACACACACACACACACACACACACACACACACTCGTACCCTCACATATACCCCCTCTGTGGAGGGATTAACAGATTTGACCCGACAGTGCTCACATTCTGAACAACAGCCATAATCTGCCACATTTATTATATTACATTTTCAGCCGTAAATCAGGTCAACTCATATAATCCCCCCCCCCCC